TCCTCGCAGCCACAGTCTCCATAATCTGGTCCAAAGAGTAAAGCAAGATACTGTGTTCACGGAAAGAAATATGGCTTTGACATTTTTGAGTGTCAATGCTTTTTTCCTTTGAGCACAACTTATAAATACCTGTTTGGCTTGATATCACTAGAGGTAAAGGTGACGTTTAAAAAAATGTGATTTCCTGTCTCCTGTTTTATAAATGACTATCAGACATGCTATAATATTAAGTAATAAAGATAATTTATGTATTTATAATTTATAATTACTTCATGCACATCATGTTATTCATGTGGTCGCTGTGACCAAAACGTATACAAAAGTCTTCTGATCTGTGAATCACTATGATGACATTGTGTGCATACTGCATCCATTTTATAGAACAATCTTGTGATCTAAAGGGTGAAATAAGTGATGCAGTTAATCCAATTTAAAATATAAAAATAGTTACAGGGATGGTGCACAATGTTCTGCAATTAACAACATCTTGATAAATAGAAGGGTCTAACATTTTCACATCTGCTACACCAACAACAGTTAAAAAAATGTTACAGAGTAGCTGAATTTAATTTAGTCCTATACTTAATTTGAACAATGCTAACATGCACACACTATCAGTATTAGTATACTGTATTTTAGAGGAAGTTCTCTTGCTCACTACTTCAGCTTTACTGCTGCAGCTGCTGCCGGCTGCCGACTCAGAAATAGACCCATCAATATGCAGAGCAATATGGTCAAGTATTATAAAGATATTTAGTTGCCTTTAATGTTGTTTTAGTAATATAAAAGAGAGAGTTGCAATATCTGTTCTGAACCGTTCAATGCTGTGGTGAGCCAGGTTAAAACTTGGAGCAAAAAGAAGTGTGATGACAGCCAAGAGAAGTGCATGTATGAGGTGGGAACAATTTGGCTTTTCTCTGTGACCAGCTAAAATTATATATGATTCATTTTACATACATAATGTTGGGATCGGGCAGGCCTGGTTAATAACAAGTATTTGTGATAACTAATATATTTGATTGAGTATTCATGAAATCATAAATAGGGGTTGATAATAATGTGGTGCTTATTTCGTGCAGTAGCTCAAAAGGCATTAAAATGTAAATCTGAAAAACTGTGTTTTTTTAAGATAATTATTGGTTAAGGTATTCTCAGAAAATAAACCATACTATCAATTTGGAACTCTGATTAATAATTGAAATAATAAACATAACCCATTTAAATATTAAGTGAATACTGATTACTGTCACGATTCTTATGTCATGTCACGGTTTTAGTTTTGTGTCTGGTAATGGGTTTTGTTTTGCTGTGTTTTCCTCCCTGTCGTTAGTTTTCCTAATGTGTCTGTTTGTCGTTGACTGTATTCACGAGGTAGTGTTCTGTGTATTCCTGAAATCCTTGAAATAAAGGTATTTTTCTGTTTATTCTGCATTTGGGTCCTGCCTGCTTCACTCACCCTGACAGAATGAACCGACCAGTAATGGACTCAGCAGTTTCTTTTTCGTTGGCTCAACAGGCGGATAACCTCAAGTACGCCCTAGAGTACATTTTTTATACTTGGTTGGCAGCTTCATCCAGACAGGATAAAGAGGCTGCTTTGAAGGAGGCACACCAGGAGGTTGCTCGCAAGCCCTGGCTCAGGAGCTCGTTGCCTGAGTGGCTTAAAACGTTTACAAGCAGCCCTGAAAGCTTGTCTCGAGCCTCTGACCCTTTCTTGGGGTCTGGCCTGGTGTTTGGAGGTCCACGGAGCCTCCAAAGGACCTGTAAAAAACGCAAGGTCATGAAGCCAGCTCGTACTCCAGTACCGGCCCACACAGCCATGGATCCATGCACCAGTACCGGCCCACACAGCCATGTTTCCGTGCTCCATTATCTGGCTCACACAGCCATGGTACCGTGCTCCAGTACCATCCCACACAGCCATGGTCCCGGCTCCAGTGCCGGCCCCAGCAGCCATGGTCCCTGCTCCAGAACCGGACCTTACAGCCATGTTTCCGGCTCCAGAACCGGCCCCTGTAGCCATGGTCCTGACTCTAGTTTCGGCTCCAGTACTGGCTCTCCGGCCGACGCCAGCTCCCCGTGTCCTGTCGGCGTACCGGCCGACTCCAGCCCCTCGTCTCCTGTTGGCTATCCGGCCGACGCCAGCTCCCCGTGTCCTGACGGCGTACCGGTCGACGCCAGCTCCCCGTGTCCTGTCGACGTACCGGCCGACTCCAGCACCTCGTCTCCTGTCGGCGTTCCGGCCGACTCCAGCCCCCCGTGTTCTGTCGGCGTACCGACCGTCTCGAGTCCTCTCTCGAGTTTCCTCTCGAGTCCCCTCTCAAGTCACCTCTCCAGTCCACTCTCGAGTCCCCTCTCGAGTCCCCTCTCGAGTTCCTTCTCAGGTCCCCTCTCGAGTCTCTTCTTGAGTTACCTCTCAAGTTTCCTCTCGAGTCCCCTCTCAAGTTTCCTCTCAAGTCCCCTCTCGAGTCACCTCTCAAGTCCCCTCTCAAGTCACCTCTCAAGTTCCCTCTCGAGTTTCTTCTCAAGTTCCCTCTCGAGTTCCTTCTCTGGTCCCCTCTCGAGTCACCTCTCAAGTCCCCTCTCAAGTCACCTCTCAAGTCCCCTCTCAAGTTCCTTCTCAAGTTCCCTCTCAAGTTCCTTCTCAAGTTCCCTCTCGAGTCTCTTCTCGAGTCCCCTCTCGAGTCTCTTCTCGAGTCCCCTCTCGAGTCCCCTCTCGAGTCTCCTCTCGAGTCCCCTCTCAAGTCCCCTCTCAAGTTCCTTCTCAGGTCCCCTCTCGAGTCTCCTCTCGAGTTCCCTCTCAAGTTCCCTCTGGAATCATCTCTCGAGTTCCCTCTCAAGTCACCTCTCAAGTCTCCCCTCGAGTTCCCTCTCGAGTCTCCTCTCGAGTTCCCTCTCAAGTCCCCTTTCAAGTCACCTCTCGAGTCCCCTCTCAAGTCCCTACCCAATGTCCTGGTCCGTTGGAGGTTCCGCTGGGGGTCCTGCCAACTCCGTGTCCTGTGCCGTTGGAGGCCCCGCCGACTACTCTTCTGCCGGGGGTCCTGCCAACCCTATGTCCTGTGCCGTTGGAGGCCCCGCCGACTACTCTTCTGCCGGGGGTCCTGCCAACCCTATGTCAAGTGCCGTTGGAGGCCCCGCCGATTACTCTTCTGCCGGGGGTCCTGCCAACCCTATGTCCTGTGCCGTTGGAGGCCCCGCCGACTACTCTTCTGCCGGGGGTCCTGCCAACCCTATGTCCTGTGCCGTTGGAGGCCCCGCCGACTACTCTTCTGCCGGGGGTCCTGCCAACCCTATGTCAAGTGCCGTTGGAGGCCCCGCCGACTACTCTTCTGCCGGGGGTCCTGCCAACCCTATGTCCGGTGCCGATGGAGGTTCCACTGGGGGTCCTGCCGGCTCCATGTCCTGTCCCGTTGGGGGTCCCGCCTACTACTCTTCTGCCGGGGGTCCTGCCAACCCTATGTCCTGTGCCGTTGGAGGCCCCGCCGACTACTCTCCTGCCGGGGGTCCTGCCAACCCTATGTCTTGTGCCGTTGGAGGTCCCACCGACTACTCTTCTGCCGGGGGTCCTGCCAACCCTATGTCCTGTGCCGTTGGAGGCCCCGCCGACTACTCTTCTGCCGGGGGTCCTGCCAACTCCATGTCCTGTCCCGTTGGGGGTCCCGCCGACTACTCTTCTGCCGGGGGTCCTGCCAACCCTATGTCCTGTGCCGTTGGGGATCCCGCCGACACCTGCTCAGCCGGGTTTCCTGCCAACACCATGCCCTGTCCTGTTGGGGGTCCCGCCGACACCTGCTCCGCCGGGTTTTCTGCCAACACCATGTCCTGTCCTGTTTCGGGTCCCATCGACACCAGCCCTTGCTCCATCGTGGGTCCCACTGACACAAGCCCATGTTCCGTCCAGGGTCCCGTCTACGCCTGACCCGCCAGGGGTTCCACCAGCTCCTGCCCGTCCTTGTGCCCGGCATGCCCGGTCCCCTGAGTTCGCCCGCAGTGGCCTTCGCCCCTTTATGAACTCTGCCTTGCCCCCGGGCCGTCCGCCCGAGACCCGTCCTCCGCACCCCCTCCACCCACCCTTTTCGAAGTTTGGACTTTGTTTGTGTGTTTAGGGACGTCTAGAATCCGTCCCTTGAGGGGGGGTTCTGTCACGATTCTTATGTCATGTCACGGTTTTAGTTTTGTGTCTGGTAATGGGTTTTGTTTTGCTGTTCTTTTCTCCCTGTGTTTTCCTCCCTGTCGTTAGTTTCCCTGGTGTGTCTGTTTGTCGTTGACTGTGTTCACGAGGTAGTGTTCTGTTTATTCCTGAAATCCTTGAAATAAAGGTATTTTTCTGTTTATTCTGCATTTGGGTCCTGCCTGCTTCACTCACCTTAACAGATTACCACCTACATTATAAGGGATATTCAGGGAAAAATAACTGTTAAGCTAATTAAATTGAATAAAAGCAGAAGTTATTTTATTGATGTACCATAACTACTAACAGCACTGTTTCAGACAGAATTATGTCATGTTGCCTTATGGGTGTTCAAAACTATTTTCTGTCTGTTTTTACTCGAAAAAGGAGGTGGAATGACTCAATCACCAGGCCACAGGGAGCTCTGCAAAGAGGCGATGTGCCCCTCGAAGCAATCACAAGCATGCAACAAATGAATGATGGCTCCTGCAACAACATCAGGAATTCATCTACGGTTTCCCTCGGATAAAAGCTTCAGCATCATGGATGTGATGTCAAAAAATGAATGTCAGGAGTTGAAAAGAGATTAACAACATCTTCCAATCACCTTTGTTTTGATAATTTGGCTGATACCTTGGAACAAATGTGTAAATACATTTGTAAGTTAATCAAATTATCTGCATTGGTAAATACATTTAGAGGTATTTTTTACTTTGTTTCCTATTTTACCTTTGTAATTTGGTTAAACCAACCCTTTAATAGATATTTTCTGCTTTTATCTAACAAACACATGCACATTTTTGTGAGAGCATGATACAAGGAGACACTCTTTATGCACTTGTTTTATTTACAACACACAGCATTTTCTTTATCCATGTAATGAATGACTTTAAAAACAAAATCCTCCCAAGCAGACAATATACACTCTTTATGTACATATTATGCAATGTTTACTTCTCATACACTATGCGGTATACAGTATATACTTCATGTAGACAAGATTGTGACGGCAATGATTGCAAAATGTCCCCTGTCTCGTCCGTACCCTTGTCTCTCTGATGTATCGACTGCTGTCTAATCAGTCTCATCTACTTCCTTTAACAACACTTTAAATTAGTTGAATGCTATGCAGTGTGTCAAGGCAGACAAAAAAAAATTGGAGGCGTCTGAAGATAAACAGGGACAGGTCAGAGCATTGACACTTCCACCTTGCACTTAATTCACATCTAAAATGTCAAGTTATTCAAGTGATTCAGGTGTTAAAAAGAGCATTTCGTATATGTAACCTTTTCAAGTTTGTGATTTACCTTTCAAAGATTGGAAAAACCTACGCTGCAGATCATTTGTTGCTTAGGCAGTAACAGAAGGTGGACAATTACATGGGAGTGGTAGAAAAAAACGTGTCATTTCAAACCCACTTTATTGACAGCTTCTTGTCCTCAGTACAATGCAATGCAAGATCTGTGGTGCTGAGCACAGAGGAATAAATACGGAAATAAATACAGTACCGACTCGCATCGGTGGCCGTCTTTAATTCACTCTCGCTGGAGCCATCAGAGCCTCACCACAAACACACAAAACTGATAAGACATCACACACAACACTGAGCCGAGGGTTTTTCTTCCGCCTTAAATTACCGTGGGTCGTAGATCAACATGGTGTGATTCGTGCTGCAATTCAGCACTGCTTTAGGAAAGATGTTCCTGCCTGCGTACATTTTCTTTCATCAGTTTGACAATCGACTGAAGATTGGAACAGGGAGGACCGGTTGGAAGCTAGTAATTTCACATTTTGTTTTTTATAAAAGATGACAGTTTGGATGTGTCAACGCATCCAACAGAAACCTGCAGTGCTGCTCAGTCACAATGGGAGAGACTGAACAGAAGAAGAGTGTCTGAATGATCCATGAAAGAATGACATCTTAGTTTTACAACGGCATGCATTGCCCATAGGTTTTAAAGTTTTTATCCCTTACCAACGATGACAAGATAAAACCACATCTAATAAAGGTTCAACCCATCAATCAAGATCCAACCCCTTAACCCTTCTTTAGATAATTCATTGATTATAGACATGTTAAAATCTCTTAATTTCTTCTGAGATATGGCATTAAAATAGCTTTGCCTTGATATTAAAGATGATGTCAGATATCCTGTACAGTTGATGTTGATGACCATTTCAAGTAAAAGAGTAACAAAGCACGAATATTTATAGGAAAACAAAATCACATCATGGATGCTCACTGACATCCGGCAAACTCTGAGAAACGCTACACCACACAACCACATCGTTACATGTATGGCAACAATCAAAGGCAATTGCAGGACAATGTATTTCATTAGGATCCAGGCTGTGTATTGCATTCATCATACAATACATGGGGACGGGGAAAAATCCTTTGCTCCAACTCACGTCAAAGAGAGTCTGCTTTTTAATGTTATATTATTGGTTCTCATAATCAGCTGATTAAACAGTTTGAAACATATGTCATTTAAAGGCATATTCATAGATCACGATATATATGTAACATATTTGTCATCAGACTTAGTTTTGCTAGTTCTGTTTTTGTTAATTCCAATGTTAGAGTAGTTCTATAAGCATTTATTAGTAATTTGTTAATAGTTATAATAGTAAATGTGTTTACAGTGCATTGAACAACCTGATTCTATTATTGAACTCGACAATCGAGACAATAATTTGCCTAAGTGTCTTTATTTATGCAGATTATATCCTGTTATTGTTTTAGATGTGTGTTTCCTTCTTAATGTTTTGTTTACTTTGCATTTTCACAGAAACTATTCGCAATAACTTAGTGAGAAGATGGAGCAATCTGGGCAAAAGCACTGACCATAGATGCAGTGATTAATGAAACGTACTGTGTGTATACGTTCTCTTTCCTCCACTAACTCTCTGCGTGCTCTGTGAAATATAATGTAAACCTTGTACAAAAGTTGAAAAGAAAAGCTCTTTAAAATGCATGGCCTAACACCGTATGGAGTATTAGTGTCCAAACTTGCCAGGAAAAAGGGAAGCAGGATGGTAACTCTACAGTACATTTATAGTGTGGGTACTGTCTGTTTCACACTCACACAACTAGCCTTCGCTTTCTCTCTCATACCCTCAGGTGGGGCAGTAAATGAAAGCTGATGGCCTGCTAGCCATCAGGTATTTAGCACTGCTTAGCACATTTTCAAGAGTAATGAACCCGGTGTGGATCGAAACTGTCCTATACTACTAGTTTTGCAGTTGCATTATGGGCAGCAATGAATGCCTTTATACACTGTTTGTGTTCCTACTGTGTCACTTATTATTCAGCTTCCACACCAGAGAAACAGAGAGAAAGGGAAGGGAGTTTAAGCATTCTGTGATTAAGGCAGTCTCATAAATATTGCAGAGAGGTTTTCGGCCCCCGTTTGGAGATACACTGCCACAACAGTCTTGAGTTCCAAGCTCTTACTAACTGCTGCTTCCCATCGACACAGATTACAGAGCAGACGAGTGGATGTGAATGCCGATGGCTAAAAGAAAATCTGAGTATGATGCAACAATGTTCGATCCATGGAGGAAAAAACATCCCATCAAAAACAACATCGAGCAGTAATCCTCTTTGGAAGAAAAGGTCATATTTGGTTTGTGTATCAGTCCTCCACACAATGAATAATATTTTATGGGGACGGTAAATGAAAGAAAAAAAAAAGCACAGCTCAGAGCGCTTTAATTAAGATTTGAAAGTAAAGTAGAAGCCATATTTCTAATTTGTCCACTGAAGTTAGTGCTAGGGGCTTTTTAAGCGGCGTGCAGAGACGAGGATAGACAAAGGTCCCACTTACAGTAGCTTAACTCTGTCTCACTTAATTTAGTTCATTCCAAGATACAGAAAAAAAGTCAAAGCAGATACATACATATTAGTTGGAAACAGGAGATGAGGCTCCTTTAATGTCTTCAGTTGAGTTCTGCTGATCGCTTTACTTCCTTGCAGCTTGTTATGAGTTCAAGCTGCTTTCAAATCTGCCAACATGGCAATCCTTAAGAACTGTACCCTTTACAGTGCTTCCAATTACTGTACTTAGGGCTTCAAGTAATAGCTAGACCTCTATCAGAGCTTCACACGCCCTCTCTATACAGAGTGATAACAGCCCCTCAGACCCACTCCTGCATAGAGCGCTTGCAGTACAGTATGTGGCGCTGTGTGCTCTTCCTCCTGAACTGGAAAACGGTGTAGAGGAGGACCATCATGCACAGCGCCAGGACACAGGGGATGGCGATGGCCACGGCTTTCTCCGTGCCCCCAGCGCTGTCCAATTTGATGACAACGTCCACGTCACCGTTGTCGTAGTGGCGTTCCTCGGCCACCGGGGGGTTCCAGTCCCAGTCGGGGTCTGCAGGTAGCCCGTCGCAGCCCATAAAGTCCCTCAGGATGGACCTCGGGTAGCCGGGCTCCACACGAAGCAGCTGGTTGTTGAACTTCCAGTAGTCCTTGCCCTTGTAAAAGTAGGTAAAACCTGCAGGGAGGTATTGTGGGACAAAACAAATTCACTTTTATACATATACTGTGCAATTGCATGTACCACTTTGTCATGCAATAGAGAAGCCAAATCAGTGACTATGTGTTATTGTCCTTTTTTTTTTTTAGCTGAATTTCTATATAGATAGCAACAATGAACAACATGGAGTCAAATTCACAGTACTCATACCTGGCCAATTAAGCTGATTCTTATTCTGATGTCTCTCAACAGAATCTTTATGTGAAAGAAAGAGATGAATTACTCGCTGCATGCTTTAGGTTGCTTAAAAATAAGGCTAATCATTTTGGGTTTCTACAGAGTTGTATTGAAAGTAATGAAAAGTACAGTAACATTGTATTTGTAACAAACAAGATTGGAGAAAAAATTGAGAAGAGTCAAAGTTCCTAAAGGAGAAATACTTGGATATGCTGATCTGAATTGCCTGAACTTTTTATTTATGTTCTTTCATTACTATTAACCGTATAGTCTATGAGATAACAAAACAATATAAAAATGACTATCATCCATTACGAAAGCAAGCAGCAAATCATCATGTAGAACCTCATCAAGTAAACCATTGATACATTGATATTGAAAATGCATTTTCTATGGATCCACTATTTGTTGCGACTGGTGTTGTGCAGTTGCAGTGTCTGCATTGTGTTCCTTTTTGTTTATCACTCCCTTATGAAAAGTTTATATGTGCAGATTCTCCCAATTCTGATAAGTGTTTTAAAGCAGAGATTTTACACCGGTTTAAATATATTCACGGAAAATGTATTCAGAAAAAAGACGCTGTTCAGTCAACTTCCTGTTTTCCTTCTGTCATGTTGTTGCATTCAGGACTAAAACGATAAAAGCAAATACCAGACAAACTGGATCTTTGTACAAAAGTTAAGTGTTGCTCTTCATGTTTGATAAATGTCACTCTGTCTTAGAAACAACAGTGCTGCACTGCCAGTGTGTAAATACTCTCAATCCAATCTCACTGACTAGTACACGGTCATTAAAGCTGACATACCATTGCCCCTATCCACAAAGGCCCCCTGTGGAGAGTCGGGAATGCCCTTCCAGATGGTGATGGGTTTGGGATAACCTGGATCCATGGTCCTCATGTCCTCATTGTACCTCCAGTACCTACAAAAGGACAGACAGAAATAGCGTCAGTGAGTGACATGGGCCTGTTAAACACCTGACCCCCTGATCTGGGTCGTTCGGAGAAAATTACACATTCTTGTAACTATGCACAAATCCACACACTGAAACACAAATCAGCTCAGTGATGAGAGTTTAATTAATCCGACAGCTGGACACAGTTGCTAAATTCATCAACGCTAAGCAGACACGGCTATTTGTAAATCTCTGGAGTATACAAATATAAGTACTTATTATTATTATTATAATATACTAACTTCCTCAGTCTATTCCTGTCCACTATCAAATCATGCCAAGACCCTTGCACAGGAACTCAAACAAGGGCTGAGTTGCCAAAACAGACATGTCAAGCAAATGAGAAAGGCTTTTGGTCTCCCAAATGTAGGCTTTTCAGGTGTCTACGCAGTGAAGAAAAAACAGTCACATTTCATAGAAGAAATATACATAACAAAAGAGTAGAAGAAGCTGATTGGATGCACAAATAATCTATTTGTTAAATAAGAGTAGATGGCTTTGTTACTCCAACGATTTAATTATGCTATTACACAAAATCAAAACTAAATATCAATTATTGATGCTCCAATGCTTGTTATGATTTTCTGTGATTATACCGGTGCTTTTAACAGTACATACCCTTTGAGTACGGATTTTTAGCAAGTTGGTTATAAAATCCAGGTGAGGGCAGTTATTTTTCATATTGCTCAGATAGAAAAGCCTTCTAAGTTAAGAAGATGTTATTCTCGAACTATATACAGCTTTAAGAAACGGAAGAATACCAATATCAAGGTTGTACCATGGCACTGAACATCTGCACACTGTGTTCACAGCCATATTGTATCTGTAGCTTGCAGCGAGATTTAAAAAAGAACCTAATCTGAACATTTAAAAGATCTGCAACTGGCTTGATTCACATGACCAGAGAAAGTGGTCAATCCATCATCCACACTGTGTTTATCTGCCTGGCAAATGTGTTTCAGGGGTTGTTTTGATTGATCTGCTTCGCATACACTGATGCTCACACACATAAATCTTGCTACGCAGTGACATTTATTTGAATTAGAACAAACAGCACCCTGTCGCAGAGGGAGGGAGAGAGAGGCACTCGTGTTTGAGACGATGGACAAAACCTCCTGTTTGTCATGATGTGCAGCAGCAGGTTGAGGGATGACAGTATCATGACAAAGCATTTTGACAGCTTTCACCATACATCCACTGACCTCCTAGGATATGATTTATCATGACAGCTGAACAAACATGTGAGTCACACTGCCATCTCTCAAAAGTTAACATCATTGCCACGCACACGGGTAAACAACACATCCTCTGCTGTTTCGGGGAAAACTCTCAGTAAAAAAACTCTCAAGTATTGCAATCCCCATCACATGTGTTGCTCTTACATTGGGTCTTATTGGGTTGAATGCCAATTAGCAGCATTTTTTTAGCTGTTAAATAGGCAATCAGCATTTTCAGAGCAAAATGTGACAGCTTGCATTGCTTCAAAGATGACAGCTACGGTATCTATGCCAACGTGCACCGGATTAAAAACCTGCTAAATAATTAAATATTCCATGGGAAACTGTCCCCAAAATCTTTAAATGTACCAAACACTGACACAATGTGTTTATAAGGAGCCAAAAAGGGCTGACAAATAAAACACATCTGTAATATCTACTCCTTAACTTACTGTTTGTATACAATTTGGTCACACAGAATCAGTTTATCGGCTTAATCAAAAAGATTTTAATCAAGATTTCCGCCTTGATTGATCCTCACAGCACTTTGTCTGCTCTCAGAGACTCCAGAGAGCAAAACATCTTAACTTCACATCAGTGCTGATAACCGTTCGTCACAGACCTGTCTCCTTTGAAGAAGTAGGTCTTGGCGACGTCCTCCCACCAGACGGCTGTCTCGATGCTCTGAGTGGGCATGCCGCTCCCGAACAGCGAGATGTCCTGAGGGTACGAAGGCTGGAGAGTCGTGTCCTTGAAGACCCAGAAACGGTTTCCTAAAATAAACACAACGAATTATGATGCTCTGGGACGAAGACATTATGATGAAGATGACATGACACACAAAACACTCTCAGCTCAGTCAAGTGTGTGTTCCTGTTCACAAGATTTTAAAGGTCAGATGTAACACCTCGTTGACAAAATATCTGCTCAACACAACATGTATGCGGTTTTATCCATAATACAATAAACAGGAGGATGATGCTATGAACGCCACGCTGCAGAGACTTGTTGTTTTGAGTTTTATTGAAGCTATTGTTGCTTTTAATTGATACAATAATAAATGCATCAGGCAGGGTGAGGAGAGCTGCTGGGGCGGTGAGCTTGCAGTAAGTAGCTCGACACTCACATACACACACATGCAGTTAAGTCCCCTTGAGAGAATTAATAAAGCATGAGGCACTCTGATCCCACTGGGTGACAGATGTCATGTTAATCTGCTGATGGTCCGATGGCTGTAATGGACCTGCAAACATTGTGTTTACCGTACAGAATGCAAAGCAACGTCAAAGTCACCCGCTCAGACGCTTTATGATAAAAGATGACTGGATGTTTGAAGAGCAAAAATATCCACATGGACTTGTAGAGGGGGAAACAACAGTGTTCTTGTTTGTCAAACAACATGTTTTAAAATATCATGGATATTTATTTGTAACTAAGGATAAAGGGTTCTTTGTGTAATGTGTTTTTATTTATTTTGTCAGAACCCTTTTCCTATTTGTGAGGATTACCTTGATTATTTTTATTTTTGTATTTATTTTATGAATGTAAATGAAATCTGGGAAGAAAACGAATAAAGGTGCCAATTTTATTGTACACAGACAAATAATATGTAAACAAAATCAGTGGTTTCAACAAGTCATTGTGTGTCTGATATATAAATCGATAGGGACTTGGCTTGGCAACTGGAAGGTCACCAGTTCAAGTCCCGGCAAGACCAAGTGCTACCGAGGTGTCCTAACACTAGGATGGGTCAAATGCAGAGAAACGATTTCCCCACGAGGGATTAATAAAAGTCCATCTTAATCTTAATCTTAATATATGTCTTCCACGTATAAAAGCGGTTTGAACATTTTTAAATAATCCTGTTTTGTTACCATCCATGTTTGCTTGCTTGCTTTGTAGCAAGCAGTTAGCATCTTCCTTGCCTTTCTTGTATTGGCACTAGTTAGCACTAGTTGAACCTTGTGACAGAAACGCACATCACGTCCCTCTTGTGCTCTCACGTGTTCATGTGCATTTTAGTGCATTTGCACAATACTGAAAATAGGGTCCCACTTGTAAAAACTTTGCTCCATAGCACTACTTGTTCCCAAAAAACTGTATTACCTTTGAAGAAGACGAATTTCCCTTCGCTATTTTCATACACGGCATCAATTTTGGGAGGCAAGCCTTTCCAGAAGTAGTTGATCTGCATGGGGTAACCAGGGACCACCGAGTTGTCCCGTACCCTCCAAAACCACTGGTCCTGTAGAAACACATAAGGTATAATCATCATCATCATCATCATCTTCATTGTTGTAGCCATGTTTACTCAGGCTGATGATCTCCTCTACCTTGAACACAAAGAGCTCCTGCCGCAGGATGGCCAGGGTGTTGAAGCCTCCGTCACAGATGTTGGGTTTGGAGTTGGGGTTAGAGGGCTTGGCCCCCTGTGGAGGGCGATGGGGTCTGGCATGGCGTTCATTCTTACGGGGGTCTGAAGGAGGGTGGAAGCGAGGAGGAGGGACTGTGGGCGGGGGTCTGGTGGGCTGCGGGGCTCTATCTGGTGGACCTAAAACGATAAAAAAAGGTCTATACACTTTTTTGTGTAAGGTTGATACATTAAGATGCTAAATATGTTTACTTTCTTTTTTTTACCAATGCACCTTTAATGTTGGCACAGATGATGCGTTTGTTGACTCATGTTGGCTGTCCTCTTTAACAGCTGACAAATGTTGCTTACTGGCAAATTACCCAAAATGACTGAATGTTTCAGCAGCTTCTGTAATAGTGACTAAGTCAGTGCAGGGCCTCTGTTTTTATATTATATATATATTTTGTGATATGGCTTCAGGAAAGTAAATGTAACATTGCTCTTAATCTGCTGTCAAACTATTAGAATTTAAAGAAAAAGAAAATAATTCTGTAAGAAATGTAGCAGAGGGTTACCATAGATTTTCTGGATGCCCTGTAGGTCATCGTGAGGTAGTTTGAAGTTCTCTGTGTCCATGTACTGGTAGAAAGGAGCCATGATAGCGGTCGGGTCATTCGAATGTTCCAGACCGAGGGCGTGGCCCAGCTCGTGCACCGCAACCAAGAACAGGTCGTTACCTGGAGGGGAAAAGAGGGGAAATTATGTTAATGCCAAAAAAAACTCAATCATATACAGACAGTACTTATATGAGGTGGAGACAAATGCATGTGACTATGTTTGCTGTGATGAAACAGTAGAAAACATGCAGAGACACACTTAATTAACACAAGAGATAGGTGGTGATAAGCACAGAAAAACATAATTAATAATAATGTGGACCTTTACGTTTCATCACCTGTATCTTCCTTGAGATAAATTGACTACCTTAGGGTTTTGGATTATTGGTTGGACACAACTGAGCAATTATTTTACTTATTATAGGAAACCCATTAAACACATAATTGACAAATAACAGGTTGATTAATCAACAATGAATGTAATCATTATTTCCAGTGCTCTGATGCACACCGACTTCCATTGAGCTAATGCGGTGCAATGTAGTGCAGGTAAAGATTTTTGTAGGTAAATTGATTTTTTTGTTGTTGCTCTAGATATAAATATGCCCCATGTGAGCAGAGGGACACACTTATGTTATGTTCAAGTTACCAGAAAACAGTGTAAATACAAACATTCATGCAATGCACCTGAACACATTGGCATAGCACAAGGAAAGATTATACACCTATTCCATATCACATTAAAACACACACAGACAAATGAAAGAACAAAAATGCCATGGTCAGTGTCTCTGGTCAGTGCTCAGCTCATGGTGTCAACTTGATTTAGAAAGAACAACACCATTTACGTACAGCTTCCGACTGAAGCTGTCCCCAGGAGATGGTTGCCCTTTAAAACATGATATCCACTCCTGCCAGCAGCGCTGCACAGACCCACCACTGACCCTCAGCCAGCAGCTAAAAGGTTACACCTCCCCTTCCCCCATTTATCTTACACAAGCAGCCTCTTCCACCAAACCAAAAAAGACCATAAAGACTTAAGAGACAGGTCAGAGCTACCATTAGCACACATGTCAACATGCAACATTCACAATTACATCGCTGTGAAAGCCCATTAAAGGTTGCACAGCTTCCCAGACCCATAAGCAGAGAAAGGAGCTTCAGCACTCCACATGGATAACCATGGGACACTGCGCAAGGGTGAACATGAATTTGACTTGGGAGTCTGAGACAATTACCATTGGAGAAGGAGAACAAAAGAGAGGGAGACAAGGAGAGGAGCTGATGGGTGTGAACACAGTGTGAATTGTTACCCTCCTCTTCCACTAATGGAAGGATAAAATGTAAGTGTACAGCACGAGGGTATTAGCAGGAGCAGCAGCCTGGTGGTGCTCTGACAAGCCTGGCGCCCCGTAGGTAGGGTAATTAAAGCCTGTGTGGATACACGGCTGAGGAAGGCCTCTTCTCTCCTGCACCCTGCCAGCATCCACACAGGCAGGGTGGCTTTCATTACAGGATATGTGGGCCACTGTTACAGTATATCTTAATTTTTAATTTGAGCATAATCAATAATAACCTATCCTAACTTGATCCATCATAACATTATCCAAAACACCATGACATAACAAGATAACAAAGTTAAACCAAACATTACACATAACATAACAATATAAGCCATGCTAACTAATCAATCCATAGTAGCATACCATAGCAAATAATGATTACATCATTAGCACAACATAATGTAACATCACATCACATGAGATAAGATAATGTCAGAACTTAAAATAACCAAACCTAATCTAACTTGTATATTAACATTTTACACTGTAACATAAAATAACATAATAATTTAACCAACAATACCCTAATTTTACTTATAACACCATATAACCCATTATAATCTAACCTCAGTTAATATACCAATAATCACATAATGTTATATAGCATAACACAGCACAACACAGTATAAAATCACATACGATTAAGCAATATGACATAATCTTACATGATAACCTAATTTATATACCTATAATATCCATAGCTCAACATAACTTATAATTACTTATTACACGGCTAGGTCAATTTGGACATTTCAGAGGTTGTTAATACTCGTTAACACACCACTGCTAATACAATATACCGATAATAACATAATGGTGTATAACATAACAAAGTAAAGCACAACATGATTGAACCTAATTATAAACTCACCTAACTTTACCTGATATTCCCATTATAGAATAACACAACATAACATCACAATATTTTTTGACAGATTGTAATGGTATTCATTTATATATCTCTATTTCTTTATATCACTCTCTTCAAGCACACCACTGAGCAAATTCACTAAAAACAGAATGGCCATAATCATTTACCAGCAAGCAATGTCTTAAAATAGCCGAGCTTTCTATCCTGTCATCTAAAGAGCTTATTATGCAGGGGAAAAAACATCAAAATCCTGACAGATGGGGTGATGCATCTTAACAGAGCACAGCCGATCAAAGACATCTCTGCATTCTTTGTTTTTGGTTAAGCATCCCTCATACCGTGCCCTGTGATACCATCTCTGTTATTTTGCGCTCTCTCAAGCCATCTGCATTTTCATCTTTTGCTTCCCATCAGCCCTTATCTGTGTCTCCTGATGACTCTCCTTTCTTCTTTTTCTCAATGTTCCTCACATCTTCAAAACCACTTTACCTGTTTACATACCTGCCAACAATGCATTTAAAAAACCTTACTTACTTCCTTTCCTATGCTTGCTAATACTCTCCAATGAACTTCTCTGCTGTAGTTTCTCCTTACTTTTTCTTTTTCAATCCCTTATTTGTGTATTCTTGCGAAACCCCCTGACCATCACCACTTAATCTGTCTCTAAAGGTTTAAACACACCTTTTCTTTCACTTACCATCATGGTTTGGGTTCCCTAGGGTCCATGGCTCATCTGAATCAAAGTGTGTGTCCCCTCCTATGCCTGGGCCCGGAAAATAGGCGTGGGCGAGAAATCCCCCTTCCCCATCGAAGGGAGAGCTGTCACCATGAAAACCCGAAGCGAAGATGATGGTGATGTCCACGTCACGCCTGCCAGTCTCCAGAGCGCTGTACGGAACGGCCTCAAAGCGTAGGGGAGTCACACCCTGCCACACGTCAAATGCTCGCCGGATGGCATCGTGAGTCTCCCTGGCGCCCACCTTAGGTGTGACATTTTTTATGCTGTGGGAAGAAAGAAAGCAAACTAAATAAAGTATCTGCAACAAGGGAGATGATACAAAGCTGACAAATATAAAAGCTTTTTGGCATCGTTATTACATTGCCAATGTTAATTAAGTTTGATTGAAAATGAGAATAAACCTCAGTAAATTGCATTCCACATGGAAAATGTTGAGCAGGTTTATATGGTGCATTCACAGTGAAAGACATAGATGTACAGGAATCGTACAGTATTATGGCGACTATGGGGAACAAAGCAATCAGCAAAAGCCAAAATAAAGTATAAACTGCATCAACCCTGCGCCTTGTTATTCCCTTCAATTCAAAGGAAAATGTTTTACTGTTATATGGGGAGAAAAGTTGCACTTGACACAAGTATTTCAAGCCCGGCAGCTTTTACTGAACTTTTAACACTGCAGTCGTTATCAGTCCCTAGCAGGCAGGGAGGAATGGGAAATCTTCTCCCTCTCTCTCCTCTCATTTTGGTGAATAAAGTGCAGTCAGCAGCAGCGTTGGCTCAGCACTGATTGACATTCCATTAGGAGAGGGGGCTCATCAATTCAAATGTGTGCAGGAAGGAAGGATTTGAATAAATTGACAGTGTTATCGTCCATTACTGCTGTAACCTGTCAATTTGCAGTTGTGCCAGAGAACTGTTTATCAGGACCACTCAGAACCTATTAAAAAGCTGCAGCTTATTTAGGCGAGATAAGATGAGAGTTTTAATATTTCCGCTGAGTTTACGTCCAATTTACACTCAGGATTTTAAACAGTTTTTCTATGAGGGAGAGGAAAGCCTCAATCTTCATGCTCCTCACCTACAACTGTTTTGTTTTGTTAAAAGAATACATAGAGAAGGATTAAAAAAAACCCTGCCTGATTTCATTTTGCATTTTGCCAGCAAGCTATATATAAACCGGAAAGTAAACATAATCATAGCACACAAGGGCGCATCTATTTGTGAATCTGAACGTGTGATGATATATTGGTGTGTGTGTGTCTGCCACCAGCATGTGTGACGTATTTGCACTGTCTCTATGACAACTCAGAGCGTGAGATCCCAGGTGGTTAAAGAAGAGGAAGTGAGAGACAGAGAAAAATTAACACTGGCAAATCTGAAACCTGCATGACAGGCTAAGCTCAATGGTCACCATGACAACTGTCTGTACTATCTCTCACCTGTAGGTGATGTGTGTACGCTGCCACTTCTGTCCTGTCAGTGCGTATCTCCGCTTCCGTGACCTCGCAGCAATCTTAAACTTGTCCGGTACTCCACAGCGAGGCTTTTGCATCCAACTTAGAGAAGAGAAGAGAGGCGAAGAGAAGGTGATATAAGTTTGCAAAATATAAATTAGGAGGCATCACAAGAAAAATAAAAGTGTACTTAGCAGTTCTCTTGGTGAACATTGAAACAGCAACAAAACATAAAGGAAGTGGTGTGCAAAATATATCACTAAAACTACTGCAAACTACAGTCATCAATACAAGTGCAGGATTTCATTCTCAATGAGTGCTGAGAGGAAATCAACTGTCATGTTTTCTCATTCATAACACATGAGATTATCACAAGTACAGAACACACATACTTTGACACATAGGCAAAACATTAATTCTCACCTCAGTGTGATATCACTGCATCATCATGCAAAATGAGAAGAAGGAAAAGTGTTAAAACCTTCGCCTGGGGTTGTGATGGAGGGTGAAATGATCAGCTCTATTTCTGGCCTTCACTAATTCATTAAAATATTGATTCCTTTTGCATGTTTAAATGAATGAGTGGAGCATTTGCATCAATGTGTCATCAATGGCCTGCCCCTCACAGTTTGAACAAGCACGTGTGCATACTCACTCCTTGGTTTTCTCATCCAGTGTCCCTGTGACATTGAGACCATAGACGCGCTGCATGGCAGCGATGGCTGAGTGCAAGGTTTGGGCCGAGCGCAGGACAGACATTCCCGGTTCTGTGCGGGGCAGGTAGCCATACCTCTGTAGCCATCCCTGCAAAAGGTGAGAAGTCAAAAATATTTGGGTCTTCATGTAATGCTTATTTCAAGACTTACTTTATACCCTTTATAAGATATCTTGGATACAGCAGGAATAATGACATGAACATAGAGTAGTATGTGATAAGCAATAAAATGTGTATTATAAAATAGCATCCTGGATATTATGCATTTGTGTTTTGCAAGTTTATTCAGATAATTAATTAGTTATCAACTACAATGTACATGTATCAACAGAGCTGTCAAAAGTGAAAGGATATCAAATAAGCTGCAGCAACTTTGAGTCCCAGATGTAACTTCTTCAATATATGCTCTTTTTCAGAATTCATATTTCACTTGACACTCGAAGGCATTCTGGTTCAAATACAAACCACATATATTCATTGGGGTAGCTAACTCGAGGGCACAGTAGCTGTTTAATGAGGGCAAAGTACTATTTGTTTAGTTACCCTACAGAGTATTTCCCAGTAAGAGGCCAGTCCCATAATAGAAATCAATAAGAAAATAACTGCAGGGCAATTATTCTACATTTCACAAATGGCTGTGAGAGGACTAACCATTAGTACTTTATTATCGCAAGAAAGCCAACTGCAGTGAGAAGGAGCTTCTGTGGTTAGACTTAATGTCACAGAAGCTTCAACAAGGTGCTTCATATAATTGGCAGGTTCATAATCTATTGTATGTCTTTCCAGCCATGGTTTTAATGTGTCTGTGTATACTTGCTCAGAGGCTCCTTGCACATCATTGCAACTGTTTGCATTTGAATCTCTTTTAGTGACCTCAGTGTTTCTGTCCTGAGGCTGCTCTCTTTTGCCCTGTACTTGATACAGAGAGTTGGAGCCCGGGCGTCATGCAGGGGTCATTTCTAGATTCAATCCTGATGCTGGGAGGCCACGAGGTGGCCACGCCATGCACAGCTGTCCGCACGCCACCCAGCTGCCTCCACATCACTACAGCGATGAGATATGCTCCAGCTGGCTAATCTGACTAGCTGTCTCCTCTGTCCATCCCTCCCCCTTCTGCCTCTATCCCTCTTTCTGCTGAGCTAAACGCCTTGTTTATCCTTTTTTCCCTCTCTCCTGTGGGCGTGTTTCCTGTGTGTGTTGTGTTTGTTCCAAAGGCACAGATCTCAAATAGATATTGGGCAGATTTCAGTCATCCATACAATTGAATAATGATGTGTTTGTGTGACTGTTAGCCTCAGCATTTTTTTTTCAGAGTAGTGAAAGGGAGTCAGAGGTGAGGAGGAAAATTACATCAATTAATTAGGTACAACAAATCCTATTATGCAGCTTGTGTGTACATATTTGAATACCCTTTTAGCACTGTGATGCTGCTAAAGAATGTCTGACTGAAAGCTGGCCTATACCAATATCCAGCAGTGAAAGCATCACCTCTATTAAAATAGACTCTTCTCTGGGTGACACATTTAGGATCAGTGGGCTGAATCAGCTCAGCTCACGGACCGCAGTGTAATAAAATGAGCATCCTTCTGTTTCATTGCACTCTACAAATGAGGAATGCGCGCTATGTTCGCCGTTCAGTGCGTGAGCTGTGCTGATAGGCTTACAATGTATCCATGTTATGCATTATGGTAATTGTTCCCACGGATAGCATTGGGAGTCGATGCATAAACACATATATGTTTTTCCCGCTGAGGCACATTATGTGGAGGAGAGAGCACGGTCATTTATGATAACCGGGGAGGGAAGGCCATTCATCTTACCTCAACGCTGAACTGATGATGATCCTCCTCTCCGGACACAGCACACGAAATCCAAAGCAAAAAATGCAAGCAGAATGCTGCCGCGTAAAAGCAATCCGATGGTTTTCTTTTACTGGAGGATACTAAGGTCATAATGACCTGTTTTTCCCGAGTGTCTATTAGAAGAAGCCGCCCGTCTGCTTTGGCTCCTGTGTCAAATAAAAGGCATCAGGCGAGCTGTCAAGGCAGATTCACATGAAAACGAGAAAAGGCCCCAGCGTTTTGTAAAATCCCGATGGTGGCTTCAAATGTTCCGATGTCAAGCAGAGATAACGAGACATATTATGTCCGCTGCCCTCGCCATTCCTATTTACATCAGGGCTACATCTATCCAGCAGCATCAATGGCCATGTACAGTACCCAGTCTGCGCAAGATAGGCTCCCTCCCGACTCCACGCCTGCGCTTTGATTTCTCACACAGCGCAGCGCCGCTTGGCAGCATCATGAGAGCTGCCCTACAGAGTGCAGGAGATGAATTGCATTCCTCAGAACTGCCTGTACGTTTGACTTGCTCATTGCCACGACCATGTCTCTGTGCACTTTGAAGCACACATGTGCAGTCAGATGGTTTTATTTTAAATTCCTGATAGTAAACAAAGGGCCGCTGCATCCAGATTATGGACTGATTCATATGCTTGTGTCAGTGCACAAAACGATTATTTAGCGGTTTAAAAAAGTATATTTCTGTGCACTGAGAGATGTAGGTAGCAAGTCTATAATTAACAACATGTTGTATGCACCTTGCCTGTAATTGATAATAATCAATTATCTGATTTTAGTCAGCAGCTTGTATGTGCAAATTTTCGACATCAATATAGAAGCTCATTTATCTTGAAACATCTGCCCTACCCCTGTGTTGCGCTCTGGCCTGCAGACACAGAACAGACAACCTAACAGCTTCCTAAGACATTTATAGCTCCTACATCTCTTTATAGCCCAGATATACAACAACGTGCCGGAAGCAAACGAACCACGAGATGGCGATGTTTCCTTGATGAATATGGCCGTCAGCTGTTGAGGGCACACACCACAACCTGAATGAACCCCACATGAACCAATGAGCCGAGAATTTGACATTGATTTGATGTGATTTACGGTGGAAAGGAGTGAAGAACAAACTATAGACATAATTACACAACAAGTACGTTTTTAACTTACAATAATAACATCCTTCCAAAAACAAGAAGCTGTCATGAGCGATGACTTTAAATCTGGAGTTGCCATAGAAAGAGGTTGTCTACCTGCAGATAAATCAACATTTCACCTGATTACATCCATGATCTCATTCCATCAATCACTTGTACAACAGAGTGTTGGAATGAACATCATCTGCCAAGCGGACACATTTGTGGTTTGGCAGGTTTCTTTTGTGTCAAATGCAAATTTGCACTTCTGAAGCCAGTCTGCTACCGGACAATCTTTGTGACTCAGAGTTTCCTGTAGCTATGGACACTTTCTCAACTCAGACTTGAATGGGTTTAAAGGACTGTCTGTGCCAACCTTTACCGGAAAAGTATGGCATCAATCCACACACCCTAAACCAGAATGTGCACCAGACCGCTTCAGTGGATTGTAGTCAGGGCCGCCCCTGGCCAACTTGGGGCCCCAAGCAACATTGTGAGATGAGGCCCCCCCCCCCCCCCAACCGACAGGAGCGAAACAATTTTTTTGGAAACAAAGTAGGCTACTTTGCAAATATAATTCCTGTTTATTATTATTATCAACACAGTTACTTTTTTAAGCAGTGAGGTAAATGGTAAATGTGCATGTATGTCGTTCAGTATGCGTTTACAGGTGAATACGTCTGCATTTCCTGTCAAATACTAGCCTCAAAAAGATTAAAATATAATTAATGCAAATAAACTACTTCTACTAATAATAATAATCATAATCATACTCAATTCAATAATATAAATACTATATTATTTCATTATAATATAGTTGTAATCAAGACAAAACTTGCTTATGACATGCTCAAAAACTGATATTTCTTAAATCTGTATTCAAATGTAGTTCCCTCTGTCAGCAATGTATCAACAACTACACACACATTTCTATCAGTGTTTCTCTGTGTTGTGGTTGACATGATGATGACTGTTAGGAGTTAAGGGGAGAGGCTGAGCATCACCATGAAATGTGAAAATTGACATAAAAATGAATAAAAGGGGAAAAAATGCTCCATGTTTTTTAGGCTGTAAACTTTAACTGTTATGTAAGCCAACTAGACAGACAGTTTATCACTCTTCCTCCTGTACATTAGCAGATAAAAGGCATAACATACTTGAATGAATGTTAAATAAAGAATGCTGGAAATAACTGCATCTCCATTAGCCTATATGCTATGCAGAGACTGCCTTCTTCATGTCGTGAATTGCAGCTGATGTTTTAATATGGCAATTGGCAATTTGACTTATACAACATTCGCAAGTTGTACATTTGACTCATACAATAACCCACCTTCGAGTGATGCTCTAGTTTCTTCATGTTTTATTTTTTTTCCCTCTTGCTTGCGCCGGACTGAAACTGTCTATTCACCGACATCTCTTCACCTGCACTAGTGGCCGTATCAAAGCCGTGATTGGTCAGATGTCGACTCGATTCATTGCAACGGTGTCGGGTTACTGACGTGCTCCCCTTGTCACCTCTCACTCTCGCGTGTCAGCGGGGGGTGCGCGGAGAACTGCGCACAGCAGCTGAGGCCCTCTGGACGGGGCCCCCTGCGCAAGGCGGGGCCCCATGCAGCCTGCGTGATTAGCCTGTAGCTGTAGGGAGGGGCGGCCCTGATTCTAGTCATTCAAGGCCTATCAACCATTGCTCGTAGCCTGCATTCATTCATTCCTCATTGTGCGCCACTGGACGGTTGCAGACTTGCAGATTTTCACGCAGATCTATTTATTACGCCATTTTTGCTTCGTTTTACTTTTACGAATTATATTCATGCTGCATGAGTTGAGTAAAGTTGGAACGATATTGGCAGATTTCCTGTGCGCACACGATTCACAAAGGTTGGCCCTTGACGTAATTTGCGTCACCATGACCTAGCACCGGACATAATTAATAAAGTGGCAAAGTCCTTCAAGTTCCGGGGGAGCTCCATGGGACCTTATTTCGGAAAAATTATGTATTGAAGTCAATGGAGAGAGAAAGATTATCTTTCGATCCCGTTTGAATTGTGCCACGAATTACACATATGATGTTTGTCAATTTACAAGATAATTTTGCAAGTCAAACAAATAAAAATGTGTCGTAAAACTGTGAAGTAACACATTTCTTTGTGTGAAACGCTTAATGAACTACATCTCTGGTCTCGCAGACTCTCACAACAACACACGTCACCAAGATGGCCGTCACTATTGTCTTGTCAAAAAAGTGATTGACTAGTACTACCCTCACTATCAACACGCAGTGGCGCCTCCAGAAATGTATCATAGGGGTGGCCAAATGGGGCTACTGAAAATCTTGGGGTGGCCCACCAAAACCAAGAATTTAATTGTTGTAAAAGTATAGACTAGATGAAAGAGAGATCACCTACTGATATACTTTGGTTTCTTATTTTACATTTTCTGATATTATTCATCTGAAGTGAATATAATACGGATAGTTAACATTTTACTTCAAACAACATTTAAAAGAACTTTGTTTTGTGTTATGTATACATGTGTTGGTGATTTATTGTTTTGTTTTTTTATATGCTTGTTGTTCTTTCCTTTTAAAAAGACAAATACAGCTTAATTGAAATAAGTTCCTTTATTGTAAGGCACACAATGTTCAGCATTCTCAACACATACAATACACAACAGCAACACAACATGTTCTTCAGTTATATTATGTCTCTAGGTTATAAATTGTTTTAGACTGAACAAAGCTGTTTGTGTCACACTGGGATCAAAGATGATTGACATGACTTTATTAAATCAAGTTTTAAAACATGACTATTTTATTTCAACAGGACCCAAAAACACAAGGGGTATAAAATGGTAAATACATACTGTGATTGAACACAAAAACACCATCTATTGTTGACCTTTATAGCAAATTCAAAACATTATAAATGATACAAAACACCACCTTTTAGTATTAGACAGAAAATTCTATTTTTTTTAGATTAGTTCACTGTGGTGAGAGTAATAGCCTACATATAGCTTGCTTGTATTCCATTTGTTTTGAAAATGTATATTTATACTTTATAAACAAACTGGTTACCCTTTTTTAAATTAGCATAGGCCTACAGAACATTATGAAAACAAACTTGACTAATGGTCGGCTCATAACCTCAGAACACAGAAGAGGAAAAACTGCATAGATTCTCGTTTCATTTTGAAGGAGCTACAGACCTAAAGTGTGTAGAAGACTTAAATGATTAAAAAGGTCACAATCACATTAATAAAACTGTATTTAGGTTTTAGTTTCACTTTTACAAAACAGAGTTCCACATGTACTTTCTAGCATGTATGGCCATCTCCTCACTAGCCCTATGCTGCTGCTCCCCTGCCAGCTCTGTATCTCCTTTACTCATCTTATTCTTAAAATAAGAAGAGATGTCTGTTGACTTTCTCTTCATTTTCTGCAAATTGACATTACACACAGCAGTGATTAATAGTAGAGTACGCTACGCATTACACCAGCCCAGCATACCGACATCAGCTAACGTTAGCTTCGCAAGCTAAACTAACGCTAACTAGGATAGCCGCCAAATTGTGTTTACAGACGAATTATACCTGAAGTCAAGCCAGCCTTTACTGAGCCCCAAGCCTGTTTTCCAGGTCTTGCTGCGTTTTTTTCGTTTTAATGCCATTGAACACACATTTTGATCAGAATAACAGCTAAACTAAGGTAAGCATATCTCCGTTTTTTGCTACCTAAAGCTAACACACTAAAGCCTAAAGTGTTGTGGGGCTGAGCTAACACACTAAAGCCTAAAGTGTTGTGGGGCTTATCAAAGCTGTCACTGTTGTCCTGCAAACATATCATTTAAAAAAGGACATTTATAACTGTATATGACTGTTATAATGATTGGTGCATACATTGGTACGTCCTATTGTTTATTTTGGTTGGATTTTGTAAACATGTTAAAGGGTGTTTAATCTTTATTTTTAGACATGGCATGCCACCAAAATGCCTTTTATATAAATATTGCTGAAAGATCTTTGAAACATAAACACACAAACCTTCAGGGAATCATTCACATTACTCATAACTGAACAAGGTGTTCAATGTTATGAAACAGTATGTGACTGGTTGAAAAGTTGAGAAAGGGATTCCTATTGGATTAAAACAGGTTCAGTCATTTACTCTGAGGTGTTTACTGTGTAACCCAATGGGCTGTCATGGAGACCACATGCTCTGGCAAGTGGAGATGGCTCTGAGCCAGAGACCAGGGGCCTTCGCAGGAAACGGTGAAACAGAGCAAAAATATATGCACATGTTTTATCGTTCTTACAAGGAAG